AATTTCCTTTAAGTATCACCAAACCAGTACCATTTTCTAACCTGACAGGGTAACTTTTTGAGGATTTTGGTTAAAATTTTAATATAAAATCTTTAGAGGGGCTATTTATGACTTTGATACATTTCTTGTTCCTGATACCAAACTGGTACAGCGAATGAGGTCTACACCATTGTTTCAGAGACACAGTTTATTAGTTGAATATTCAAATTCTTTGCTTTTCCCTAACAGTAAAAAGGTCACTTTCTAGCTTTCAAGGGATTCAGTGGTTCAATATCTGAATATGAATGGGATGGTACTGGCCTCTTCTGGCAAATAACAAGCACCCCGAGAAAGCTGTCCATGGATCCCTGTTGTCGAATGGTCTAACAACATATATGCCTCAAATACTTTTAACAGTTAGAAGCCTATTTCTTCCAATAACTCCTTGCCACTCTGAAACAGTAAGTAAATTCTACTCAATATATAAAACATTATGCTCATTTATGTTATGGTTACTCAAAACAGAAAGGTAATTCTAATTTTAAAAAATGCATACTGATTTTTTAATAGCCGTGTAACCATTGCTACCATTTTGAAGAATATGTCATTGTCTTCCATTTTACAACCTCTGAGACTCCATGAACAGTTTTTCTGAGTTGATCTGAAAACATATTACATAAGAATTACCGAAATTGATAGCCCTAAGCAGTGATCCCCAGCCCTGGGGAATAGCAGAATCATTTAATGACTGTACTAGTTTCTTAATGCTGCTGTAACAAATTACCATAATTCGATGGCTTAAAACAACAGAAACTTATTTTCTTACAGTTCTGGAAGTCAGGAGTCCGAACTGAGTCTTATAAAGCTAAAATGAGGCATTAGTAGAACTGGTTCCTTCTACAGGTTCCCAGGCTCTAGCTGTTGCTTGCCTCTCTGAGCTTCCGGTGACTGTCAGCATTCCCTGGCTAGTAGCTGCATCCCCCAATCTCTGCCCCCGGGGGTCACATTGCCTTGTCCTCTTCCTTACCGCTAATCTCCTTACACTCAGGAGCTTAATTTAATCACACCTCAAAGTCCCTTTTGCCATAGAAGATAACATTCACAGTTTCCAGGAATTAAGACCTGCATTTCTTTAGGGACCATTATTCAGCCTACTACAAGGGCTTTTCCAAATGGCATTAAGCCCTGGAGACCCTTAACTGTCCCGCCCTTTCCCTTCAGGGAGAATCACCACCATTGGAAATCTTACCACTACTGCTCTGAGAGCTTCCCGTTATTTAGGGTAGGGAAAAAAAAATGAGGACCACTGTCTAAAATGTAAGTAACACTGTTATTTTTGAGTTATTGATTAGACATCTGTGAAATTTTAATCTCTGAACAATGAACAAATCATTTCGTAAGATATACATAAGGGGCGTCTGGATAGCTTAGTAGGTTAAGTGTCTGCCTTCAGCTCAGGTCATGATCCCAGGGTCCTGGGATCGAGCCGCACGTCAGGCTCCCTGCTCAGCAGAGAACCTGCTTCTCCCTCTCCCTCTGCCTGCCGCTCTGCTTACTTGTGCTCTCTCTCTATCTCTCTGTCAAATAAATAAATAAAATCTTTTAAAAAAAGATATTTACATAAAATATTAAATGAATGAATAAGAATGTGTGAAAAATATTAGGGCCTCTGTTCAGGGCTTTATTTCCAGACTTTCTATCTTTATAAGAGCTCCCAAGCATAAGATTTTCAAGGAGGTGGATTGCTGACATAATCTAAATGTGCCTGAGAACAGACATTTTAAGTTATTTTGTCATTTTTCAGTTGAAAGATGAGATTTAAATGTTTGCCACTAATACTTTAAAAACACTCACACAAAACAAAATTTATACAACACCAAGCTGCAACAAATTTCCTGTTAGAAAGTAATATTACTGGTAATAATATAGTCAAAGTTAAATTGATCCCTAATAATTTAACTGCTAAGAATTATTTAGCAAACTACATTCTAAGTCCAGCATTGTGCAAACATATTCTCTAAAAGGAACAAAATAAAACAAATATCCTGCCATTGCACTACAAGACCCTCTGACACTTGAGATTTTTTCACAAGGCTATGGTCCCTTTGTCCCTTTTTTTCACATCACCTCTTCATTTTTCTCTAGCTCACTTAGCTTCCATCTTCTATTCCTATCTACTTTGTTAGCGATCCTTTGCTTTGGTCATCTCTAAGGTGCATTATCTGTCACTGGCTTTCCATTTCAATTGATGGAAACTCAGTTGGATACAAACTTAATCCCCACCAGGACCAGACCTGGGCAGATACTGCTGTGAAGCAAGCAAAGCTTCTTTCAGGGGATTATACTAATCAAATCTCTCCAGTGGCTTCTCATCATCCCTGGGGTGAGTTCAAACTTCCTAAAAGACAGAGGAAGCCTCCTTAATGGGATTCCTGCCTAAACCCCACACCATCTTTCACTGTTCCTTTTCACTGGCACGCTGGGTAAGCCTCAGCCTAGTGCTTCCCAAAGCATGCCGGAATAACTCAGTATAATTCCACACACACTTCATCTGAAATCTCCCTCATCAACTGTAAACATCTTATTCATTATTCAAAACTCAGTTTGGAGTCATCAGCCCAGTAAGGTTTGTCTGAGACAATCCCGTAACTCTGGCAAATCCCTCCTCTTATGTTCTTCCTGTGGTTTACAAATGTTGCTGTTGGGGCACTCATGCCCCTCCAGTTATACTTTGCCCACATTTCTGTGCTTCCATATTAAAATGTGAGTTTCCATATCATATTATAGTCATTTTTGTACCCCCCAGTTCCTAATAGAGTACTGACACAGATTGCCAAGGGCTAAATACAGAATTTTGCCTCTACCCTGCTTTTAAAGCTACCTTAGAAAATATTTGCTATGATTCATTTATACCTAAGTATAAATGTAAGTTCATACTCAGGGCTAGCTGCCCTTTAATCTATAGTTCTAAATGTCAAATACAGGTGGGCGTCTCTATTAAGTAAGTTTCAGAAATCAGTAAACATTCATAATGTTTGTAAGGATAGGAAACCCTCCTGACATCCTGACAACACACCTTAAAGGCATCCCTCTATGCTTTGCATAAAGAAATATACTCTGTGATTCACGATCTGCAGTCTCAGAGTTGTAAATGAACCTATTCTTACCACCTGGAGATTGAATCCTCTCTGTAACATCCAAAATGGTGGTCAAGATCTGCACTTGAGCACATTTAGCAATGCCCCAGAGAAGCCTATTTTAGTTTTCATACACATCTAAAAAATCATATACTTTGACACTTTTGAGCCCTCCGATCAGTAATAAATGAAACTGCCAAGTAATGAAGGAAGGAAATCCACCACATCAAAATTTAAATTAAAAAAAACCAAGGAGCACGAATCATATTAGGGCACTTTTTTGCTTTTTAATTTGAGACTCAAGAATGCAAGCCACCCTAAAATAAACATATTAGGATAATCAAGATTACAACAGGAAACCGTTTGAGCATAAATTGCTATGGCAGGAAACTGATTAGTTCAGCAAAGAGACAGGATGCTTCTTGTCTCTACCGTTGTCTGAGTTAATTCTGTGCCTCCTCCGTAGACCAACTGTTCTGAGATAAAGGATTATAAAGTGGACTCATGAAAACAGACTGAAGTACAATTAATAATAAATGCAGGAGTAATGCAGACTAGTGCCTGAAGTTACAAGGAAACTAAAATGAGTCAGCAAAGGTGAGGGAGAAAAAAGGCAGTCTAGTAGTATCATGTACAACACCGCTGCGATCTACAGAATATAAAGTTCTACATAATGTGCCGATAATAAAAGGAATGCTATCAAACTAAGGAGGAGGTATGCTTTGAACGACTGCTTCTTCAGGATACTCTTTTCTATGAAACCTGAACAATCTAAATTGGATTGCTCGAAATGTGCTGAACTCTACTACCCAACAGTCCACCCCGTGGAAGACAGAATAATGGCCCTCCAAAGATGTCCCTAGAACTATAAATAATTTCATTACATAGCAAAAGGGACTTTGCAGATTGAGAGTTAAGGATCTTGAGAGGGTAGAGTAGCCTGGATTATCCAGGTGGGTCCAATTTCTTTACAAGGTTCCTTAACGTTGGAGGTCCTTTCCCAGCTGTGTTGAGAGTCAGAGGGAGACGTAACTACAGAAGAATGGTCAAGGAGATACAATGATGCTGGCTTTGAAGATGGAGGGAGGGGTCCACAAGGCAAGGGACGTGTGTGTCCTCTGGAAGCTGGAAAAGCCAAGGGAACAGATTCCCCTCCAGAGCATTAAGAGAGGAATGTATCTCTGCCAATACCTTTTAGCCCAGCATAGTCCAGTGAGACCCATCTTGTATCTGTGATTAAATAACTGTTAGATAATAAATTTGTGTTGCTTTAAGCCACCAAATATGAAGCAATTTGTTACAGTAGCAATAGAAAGGGAATAGAAGCCTGTATTCTTTCAAAGGTTTTACTCAAACATGAAAAATAACACAAACAAACCAACTGTCATAACTTCAAAACTGCCAATTTGACAGACACCTTAACATTTGCACATGACTTATCTCTAAAATATTTTTCCTAGAGGCAAACAGAGAAGGTCCTGAAACAGATTTTACAGAGGTAATGAAGGATTCAATAAGAACTGACAAGAAAACCTGACAGATTATCAACTTCTCCCATGAACCCAACTGAAAATATCATTCAACTTACTTGAAACTCTTTTGTACTGCAGTAGAAAACCCTTTATCCCTACTACCTCTTCTACTTTCCTCTCCCCTTCTCCCTCCAAACTTGATTTTGAAATGTGTTTTAGATGAAGTTTGATAATAAACATTTATTGGCATGCATGTTTTCTAGAATTTATTATAGTAATAAAAACTATTAAAATTCAATTTGCTAACTGAAACTCCGCTGTTGTTGGACACTGGCATTGATTCACATTTCGAGCCTTACTTTACATCTCACTGCTTTACAAAAGAGTAGAGTTGCAAATCCTCCTTACTCACCACTTTGCAGCAAAGGGGCCAAAACCACCACATCAAACCAATGCCCAGTAGTAGCAGTAACACCAAAATAGCAATGATGGCTGCAGTCCCACTAGACTAGAAGAGGTAGAAGACAAAAAACAAAGTGGTCAGTAAAGCACAGGGTTAAATCCCAAATACATATTTTTTTAAGGAAACACCAGAAAATGATGCAGAAAGCAGAACCAATGTCAAATCAGATTTTCACTTTATTCCTCTAAATTCTGTAAATTCCTTTACATTCTACTTCATACATGTTATTTTAAAACAGGCAATAATAAATATGAAATCTTCCAAAGTGCTATGAACAGTTTTAAATTATGCCCTAAAAGAATGTAAGAAAAATCACTATCTGGGGTTATACGAAAGGGCTGTATGGTCCCTATCATTTGTCTCTGGGAAAGAGTTATTTTGATCACAAGCATGATTACTTTTAGGTAAAACTTATGCAGCATTTTCCCAGACTTTTTGATGATAGAACACTATTTGCATTTGCAAGATGAATATCAAAATTCACCAAGCAAGTGAGAAACCAACAACAATGGTTCTTTTTATCTTTTAATTTTTTTTAAAGATTTTATTTATTTATTTATTTGAAAGAGAGAGAGAGAGCTAGCAAGAGAGAGCACCAGCAGGGGGTGGGGAGAGGGAGAAGCAGACCCCCGCTGAGCAGGGAGCCTAACGTGGGGCTCAATCCTAGGATCCTGGGATCATGACCTGAGCCAAAGGCAGACGCTTAATGGACAGAGCCACCCAGGTGCCCGAACAACAATGGTTCTTGTTGGCAAATGGTACATTGCGTCAATTCAAGAAAGCAACCTCATGCATTCACACATCAGATTTCTCACCGAAGCTCAAGCACTACCCACACAAGAACCACACTAGTGTCCTCTCACTTCCTGACACCAAGCTCCTCCAGCCCTAAGGAACCTGCTCTGGGCTCTGACTCCATTCCCCTTCCTGTAACCACCACCTAGGCATCCTACATGGCTCACCTTAAGCCACTTCCCCAGGAAGCCTTCTTTGTACACTCTGGCTAGAAAATGCCCCCCTTTACTATACAATTCATAGTTCTCTATACTTCAATCTTGAGTACTTATCACAATTTATTTGTTTGTTTATTTCTGATAAACTGTGATTATTTCTTTAATTTCTCTTTTCTGTCACTATTTATTGTGAGCTCTAGAAAGTCATGGGGTTATGTCCAACCTACTTACCAATGTATACTCCATGCTTGGCATTTAAAATGATTTACTAAGAGAATGAACTCCAAAGAAATAATACTGCAAAAGCCACAAATGCAAAGACTAGTATTTACTGAATTTTTAGTGTGGGGATAAAGTTCTCCAGGGGACAAGGTGTCTCTCCCAAACCCCACTTTCTGGTATACCCAGTAATAATGTTTTGTTTTGTGTGTCTTTCTTTTTCTTTCTTTCTTTCTTTTTCTTCTTTCTTTCTTTCTTTCTTTCTTTCTTTTTTGTTTCTTCCTTTCTTTTAAGGGAAAGAATGCAGGGAAGAAAAAACTGTAAATAAATCAATATACTCTCTAGGTGGAAATCTGGGACTTCAGGGGCAGTTTTTCAGAGATATGTTTCCTGTCATTCAAAACAAATAAGAAGTATAAGCCCAGGGGTGCCTGGGTGGCTCAGTCAGTTAAGCATCTGACTTCAGCTCAGGTCATGATCTCAGAGTCCCGGGATGGAGCCCCATATCAGGCTCCCTGCTCAGTGGGGAGTCTGCTTCTACCTCTGCCCCTCCCCCTGCTCATGCTCTCTCTCTCTCTCTCAAAAAAATAAATAAAATCTTTAAAAAAACAAAACATTAGTTTTTGAGATAATGTTCAATAATTGTATTTAAATTAAAACAAAACAAATAGAAGTACAAGCTCAGAGGTCAGGGTAAGAGCCACTTTTGTCCCAAGAGCTGATAGAGAGAGGAGTGACAAGGGGTGGATCCACCAGGATCCATCTGAGAATGGCACTGAATTAAAAGTATCAGTCTAGAGGTTTAATTTTAAGCAAGTTGTTTAATTGCTGGGAGCCTGTTTCCTAATCCATAAAATAAGAGAGCCAGTCATCCCCACAGCATGAAACTCTGTGGAAAAGCCATTACTGTGCTTTCTCTCTTAGAAAATCACCGTGCGTATTAACATACTTAGAAAGCTCTGAGTGGCTTTGCGGTAAAGTAGTTCAACTTACCTCAGCACAGAACCATCTTCTTTCTCATAACATTTTAAATACCCTGTAAATCTAGGATTCCCTAGAATCCACATTGAGAAATGTCTGGATTGGTCAAAGCTGAGAGACTTTCGGATGTTTAAGTGACAATGGTAGTAGCATTCAGTCAGAACATTTTATAAAGTGCGATACGAGGCGCCTGTGGGTGCAGTTGGTTAAGGGTCCGACTCCCTTGGTTTCAGGCTCAGGTCATGACCTCAGGGTGGTGAGATCGAGCCCCACATGGGGCTCCAAGCTCAGTGCAGAGTCTCCTTAAGACTCTCTCTCCCGGGCGCCTGGGTGGCTCAGTCGTTAAGCGTCTGCCTTCAGCTCAGGTCATGATCCCAGGGTCCTGGGATTGAGCCCCGCATTCTCTCTCTCTCAAATAAATAAATAAAATCT